CCGGTTCCAGGTCACACTGAGGAGCTCACACCACCCCCCACCCCACTTTAATTGGTTGTTCTTCTCCTCCCTCGAGAACCTCGCGGTCTCCTGTATCCAAAAGGAAGATATAAACCCTGTGACATTCCCCAAAAGAAGCATTTCCTGCATCCAGGAAAAAAAATCTCAAATATTTCTCTAGCAGGTGAGTCTCCAGATGAGTAAAATTTCCTTCCATTCAAGGAGTTGTGTCTTAGTCTTGTTGACTGTGTGAATTTTGGATCCATCAAAGGAAAAGGTTGCTGCATCACCATGCAACAAAATAAAGAATAAATACTAATATACCTTTAAAAAGGGGGGAAAAATTGTGGTTTTTTTAAAATTATTATTTTTTTGTCCAAATTTTTATCTGGGGACTGAAATTTCTTGCAGGTCTTCATCAGAGACCACTGACTTTTTAGCAGCTGCTCGAGCTTCTGTGAGTTCATTTCAGAGCATCATCAAGAGGTGACAATAAGGAGAAACAGCCACGTGTACCTAACCAAGGGATATTTTGGGGGGTTGAAATCTTCTGGTTTTGGCCTTTCACCAGGAATCTCTTAAATTGCCTGTGGTGGTGTCAAAATCAATGGTAATGTAATAGGATCTTCTGGCTAAAAATAAACCTCAACTGAGGGATCTCTGTCCTGACCTGAGTCACTCCAGATATTTTAGGGAGTAAATGGTCATTTCTAGAAAATCATTGAGATTTTAGGATGCCCTAAGCCTTCTCCAAGGCTTGAAAAACAAGATCAAAGCTGCCAAAAATGGGATTCACCTAACTTAGGGGTAATCATCCAAAATTCTGGAATTTATATTGGTGATCCTGACTTCCTCACACCAACCTTTACAAAGCAAAATGCAAGTGAGATTTGTTGTAACCAGTGTCTGCGAACACCTTTGGAATCTAAAATCCTCCTTTCTGGAACCATTTAGTATCCTCTCCTGGAGGAAGCATCTTAAATTATAATTATTTTATTTTGGCAACATAGACATTTCTGGTTTGTCTGTGCCTTTGTCCACATAACATTGATATTTACAGAATTATTTAACTGCATTAACAGTTCTTTTATTAGATGTCCTTCTGTAATCCTTATTTTTCCTGTAAAGGTGAGCAAGATTTATCTGCCCTGTGTAGAATTCATATTGGCATCAGCAGAAATGTGTATTAGCTTTCTCAAAATTAAAATTATGGTTTTTTTCTTGAAATATTAAATTAATACCCAGAATTTGTTTTCTAGCAGACTGAGTCCAATTCAAATTCAATTAATAATTTCAGGTAAAAAACCCAAAAGGTGGGGAAAACTGCTCGGAAATCCTAAAAATATTTAAGTTTGAATATTTAAAAACAATCTTCATGACTTGCTTTTCATTAACTGCTTAAGAATTAATCAGCCTCGGGAAAATAAACCCACAATATATTTGTAGGAAATCCTAGAATGACACGTGATATTTCACTTTAAACTCAATGTTTCCTGTTTGTTCCAAACTTATTATTTCTTTTTTTCTAAAAAAGTCTTCACCAAGAAAGGACACAGAGTCTTTTCTATACCTCTGGTGTGGGTTTATGTGGATGGTTTCTATACACTATTGCCTAGATCTTATAAAATCCCACCCGAGCTCCTATTTCATAGATACTAAAGGAATATACAGGAAGGAATTCCACATTTAAAATGTGTCTCTAAAGCTCTCTTTGTCCTCCTAAGCTTTCCTTTCAATGGGCATCATCATCCAAACCATTGGTTTCCCCTCTGACTTGAGCAAGGTGCCTGAATTTCCACCACTTTTTCCCGTGCAGGATGTGACGCGTTTGTGCCTTGACATCCACCAGGACTGAGTCAGCCCCTGACAAATCTTTTGTGCACAAAGCCAAACACAAGGGAATGAAATGCCTAAAGGAAACTGCACTGCCCTGACTGAGTTCATTCTCCTGGGTTTCACAGACTGGCCTGAGATGGAGATTCCTTTGTTTGGGCTCTTCCTGCTCATCTATGGCACCACTTCGGTGGGGAACGTCGGCCTCATGACACTAGTCTGGCTCAATGCCTGCCTTCACACCCACATGTATTATTTCCTGAGCAATTTATCCTTCCTAGACTCAGTTGGTCCTCTGCCATCACTCCCAAGATGCTGGTGAACCTCTTGGCCCGGTATAAAGCCATTTCTTTCCTTGGCTGTGGGATGCAGATGTTCCTCTTTGCTGTCTCCACTGTTTTGGCTGCCATGGCCTACGACAGCTACGTGGCCATTTGTCAGCCTCTCCTCTACTCTGAGGTCATGTCCCACAGGATCTGCACCTCCATGGTGGCTGGGGCATTCCTCAGCAGGGGTCTGACCTCGCTGGTCCACACCTGCCTCACATTCTCGCTGCCGTTCTGCGGCTCCAGATGGATCAACCACTTCTGCAACATCCCGCTGCTGCTGGAGATCTCCTGCTCTGACACACGCCTCAATGAGGTCCTGCTCGTCACCCTGTGGGGCTTCATCCAGACCAGCACCTTCCTGAGCATCGCTGTGTCCCACATCTGCATCCTCAGCACCATATTCTGCATCCAGGTGGCTGAGAGCAGGTACAAAGCCTTCTACACCTGCAGCTCCCACCTGACGGTCATCGCATTGTTCTATGGCTCCCTCCTCTTCACCTATTTAAAGACCAGTTCCAACCACTCCTCCTGGGACACAGACAAAGTAGTGTCTGCATTTTACACTCTTGTCTTTCCCATTCTGAACCCCCTGATTTGCAGCCTGAGGAACAAAGAAGTGAAGGATGCCCTGAGGAGGACAGTGGAGAGGAGGGTCTTTTCTCAGGGATTTTCTTGGAGTGTGTTTCTGGTCCAAAACACCAGTAATGGGAACCATTTGGCTAAACGTAGGTGAGTCGTTAGGAATATCTGCATCGGGGTTTGTTTCCCAGGTCCATTTGGTAATCACTGGGAAAAAGCAGTCAACTGAGAAGGTGATTCACCTTATCAAACAGAAGCTCAGGTCAGGTGGATCCCATCCCAGAAGGATCCAGTGAGTGACAACCCTGGAACTACACGGTCTTTAAAGTCCCTTCCAACCCAAACAATCCCAGTATTCCATGATCTCTTTCGCCTCACTGTCCATAACGGGTCTATCCCAAATGCAGAAGAGAGTTATATTTTTGCAGATTACAATTACTGAGACAACTCTTCACCAAGATGTTTGAAAGAAAAGTCCAATTAAAACAATTCTGCCATACCCGCTACAGAGAAAGGAGTCTCTTATTTATTTATTTATCTATTTATTTATTTATTTGTGTTACCATATTTTTGTGGCTGGACTTGTTCAGGTTTCACTAGGCACCTCCCTGCCTCTTCTGCTCCCCCCAGACATTTTTCATGCTTGTTCTCCTGTGTTCTTGACAGTTTTACTACTCACATGTATTTTTCCATCATCTCTTTCTGCCTGCAGACCACAAGCCCTTGTTTCCCTTCCCACAGAATAATCAGGTTTTTATTTCTGCCTAACTGTGTTACGAAATGCTTGTTGGTGGTTATGGGCCTGGCACTGTTACAAAACACACACAATGATATCAAGACAGACTTTTGTAGCACACCTGTGTCTGGATTCAGCATAAACAAGTATTAACTGTATCCTGGTATAACATGGGTGTGGTACTTCTGCTTTTTCTGCACAGAATTCCTGACATTTCAGCACTGGACCCTTTTTTGGTGGATTTTCCACTTGCTGATGACTGTAGAAGCCTTTCTAGTTGCCCTTGACTGTTCCTTGTCACTCTAACCTGCAGTTAAACAACAGGTTTCCTAATCCCATCCTTTCCAAGCCCACGGAATGCTCCCCACTGACAGAGGCAGTGTTAGATGGGATATTTGGAAGGAATTCTTTCCTGTGAGGGTGGTGAGGCCCTGGCACAAGTTTTCCAGAAAAACTGTGGCTGCCCCATCCCTGGAAGTGTTCAAGGCCAGGTTGGACAGGGTTTGGAGCAACCTGGTCTGGTGGAAGGTGTCCCTGCCCATGGCAGGGGAGTAGAATTCTATGATCTTTAAGGTCCCTTCCAACCCAAACCATTCCGAAATTCTGGGATTCAATGATAATCAGGACTTTGTCTTACGAACAGTGAAAATGGTAATTTCGCAGGCTAGCAACCTCAGAGGAAGCAAAACCTTCCTCCTATGGAATGAAAACATCTCTGTAGCCCTCCCCTGTCATGTTCTTCCCAGCTTTCAGCTCCCTGGGCCGAGTGTCCAAGGTCCAACTCTGGGATGCCCAACTGCGTAACTGCGGCTCCGGCTGCTGAGAAACCGGGCTGTGGGAACAGCTGTGAGATCGTGGAACCATTAAGAATGGGAAAGACCTCTGAAATCGAGCCCGAACGTTAATCCAGCACTAACAATGTGTCCTAAGTGCCGTGTCCCAGTAGGGAGTTACGAGTACAGTCAGTGGCAGAGTTGGAGCTGTGAGCGGCTCACAGAGCCAGAAGGACACGTAACAGCAGGGAAATTATTATAATTACACCGGAAAATGATTGTCATTGCGCAGGGAAAAAAATCGGGAATAGTCTGACCGCGCTGCCTGAGGCGGTGTCAGCACCAGTGATGTCATCGCAGCGCGACGGCGATGCCCGATCCCCACAGCGCTGCCCGATCCCCACAGCTCTCCATCCCGGCAGCGCTGGGGGATGGCATAGAACATTCTGCAGATCTTTAAGTGTCCATGACGCGAGAACAGTGCGGGAACCGCCCCGGAGACCGGCGGAGGGGCCCCGCCGGGCCCCGGGAGCGGCGATGGCGGGGGTACCGCTGAGCGCTCCCGCCGCGCCGGAGGGACTACAACTCCCAGCGTGCCCCGGGGCGGCGGAGAGCGCCTCCGCCCGCAGCGCCCCCTGTCGGCTGCGGGTGTCAGCGCAGCGAGGGCGCCCCCGCGTGGCGGCTCGGCCCGGCCGGGACAAACCCGCACCTCCAGGGTGTGGAAGTGCTGCTCGGATCGGTTCTGCTAGGGGAGAGGAGATTCCAGTGGGTTGTGACACAGCCTCAGGAAGCAAAGCGGATGTGTGTGAAGACCGACAGAGTGGGAAGGACTTCTAGGAAAAGGAGTTTTCCCATGACAGGATCGGGCTGGTGTGTGAGCTGTGCCCATGGAATGGCACTGGGAGGCACCACTGGCAGCTTTGTTGTCCTTCCACCGTCCCCCAAATTCTATTGAGCTTCTGCGTTCGAGGTTGGAAAGGGAGGAGGAGTGCTGGGAGTTGTTCTAATTCTTGACTGTAATCCTGGTGCCGGAAGAAGATGGGAATGTTAACAAAGTTTCAGGAATCCTCCTAGAGAGAGCTGTAAAGGACAGCATCCTTCGCAAGGCAACTGGACTGAAATTAGAGCTGAAATTAAAGCTAATTAACATTCCTTTGTCTCCTGATTTCTAGTATAACACAAGTTTTCAAAGGGGAGAAAAAAAATGGGTTTTAAAACTTGTCCTTGGCAAATGAATTGTGACTTTGTTAATTTGGTTATTGTAGATATCAGGCAAAGCACATTGCCTGAGAATGAATTGTTATCTCATTCTCAGTAAGGAAGATGAGTAAAAGTCATGTGCTGGTCAGGAAGAGATTCTTCCCCCACTTCCCAATTCCCAATCCAACCCTCAGGGTTTGGTTGCTTTCTTAGGTGCTGTTGCTCAATCCTGATCCTCCCACCTGACAGGAAAGCAGAAACTCACTGAAACAGAGAGATGGGGCTGGCTATGGCTGAGGGTGATATGGGGAAAGGGGTAGAATTGTCTCCTCCCAATTACTTCTGGAAAAAGCCACTTCTTGAGGCCCTGGAACAAGAAGAGAAAGTTTCCAGTTGATCTAAAGTAACGGTGGTGTCACTTTCTCTTCCTATTCTTCAGCCTCTCCATGCACCGGTGGTTCTTATGCTGGATGTGGCTGTGGAAACACAGATTGTGTCCCCTTCCTTTTTTTTTTTCCAGTCTCTGCCATTCCCAGCTGCTTCCCAGCTTGTCATCCTTGTTATTACAGGTCTCTCTGTGGCTGTGGTGTGACTGTGGGGCAGTTTAGGTTGAAGTAGTTTGGGAAGTACTCTTTTCTGTTGATTGAGCTGCTTTTCTGGCCTCTGGAATACAGCAAGAAAGTATTGAACCCTCCCATTCCCACCTGATGTCACAGCCTTGCAAGGAGGACTAATCTGGTGATGCAAAGGACAAGGGCTTCCCGTAGAAAACTTTGGAAGTGGATCTTCTTTCATTTCCTAGGCTGACAGAGACGGTCATCCATGTTCCTCTTGAAGTTTATGGGGGCGAGGGGGTAGAGCCTGGTGACTCCAGAGTACATGAGAGTAAATACAGGCAGGGAAAAAGGTTGGAATTGCCTTTTTCAGGCACTCCCCACTGCTAGTTGAACCTGGCTGAGGCAGAGATGCAGGTGCTTAGGAATTCCAAGAAAAAGCTTTTTTGTGTGGTCATGCTGAGCCTGCTGGTCTCTGCTAAACAAAATTTCCTGGATTAAGTAACAATGCTGCAATTCTGGCTTCTTTTTCTTCCCAATCAGAAACTCTTGTTTTACTTGGTGACCTAAGAAATGCCCACGTGGTTTCGCCTTGGAGCTGCTCCCTCCCTCAGGCTGTTGTTTTAGCTGATGTCAGCCTGTTGCTCAACCTGCACCTCCTGACTGCAGAAATGCTTTGTAAGAGAACCCTTTTGGGCCTGACTGAACATCCTTACTGTTCCCAGGATTCCTGGCATCTCAACCAAATCCTGGCAGTTCACCCTTTGCCCTTGAGTCGCTGGCTGAGGAGTGGCTGGCTGAGCTCCTCCATGTGTCTCATGACCCTGGAGCTTTTAGATCCATCCATTGGCCAAGCTAGCCCTAGAAACTGGCCAAAAATGCTGTTTTCTGCCAGTCTCTGCCTGCAGAGACCCTGGTGAACACTCTAAGGGTGGCTGGAGACAGGGAAAGGAGACAGACAAGGCATGTGGGTGGAGAATTCAGTCTCCCCTTTTTGGCAGCCTCGAGTCATGGGAATGTTTCAGCTGCAAGGTGCAGCTTTACACTGAACCTACTGCTCCCCTGAGGGTTGTGTCCCTTCACAGTGGCTTTTAGAAGGAACCAGGAGCACCAAACACAAAGCAAGGAAGGGCCTGGCCTGTGCTAAACAAGTGTGGAGCGGAAATCTTGGGTTTTTTCTTGTCAGACTGGAAAGTTCCTGATTTGAGTAGTTTCAGTCTTGGTCATCACTGCCTATTTAGACAGGTTTTGGGCAGTGTGGCCATGCATGACTGAGCAAGCTACTCATAGAGCAACTGGGTGGAAGAACTGATTCCTTAGACCAGGCAGAGCATTCCTCTGGCTGCCTTAAACCTGAAATTAAGGTGGCTGCTGTCCAAGGGCAGTGTGAGAGCTTTGCTACCACATAAAACTGATAATTTTAGTGGGAGCATCTTCCCAGCATTCTGACCACGACCCCAGGTCAGCAAGACCTGGTGGCCAAGGTTTAAGAGCTGGTGGTCTGCCTGGAGTTAATGGTTCTGCCCAGTCTGAAACAGCCAGATGTGATTGCTGAGGAGTCCATATGTTCCTGTGGCTGCCCTTCCCTGTTATCTCCCTGCCCTGATGGAGCAGGGGGCCTGCTCTGTCACTGTTTTATTGGCTGCTGGAATGCTGATATCTGTGGGCTCAGCCCAACATCTGCAAAGTCAAAGACAACGACTTAATCCAACCTATTTATTACTATCATGGTCAGGCCTTGCTCTAATAGAGACTTATTTTTTCCTGCTTTATTTCTCTCTTCTAATTTAATGGCTTTTTTTTTTTCTCCCACAAATGCTGGTGGAATAAGTTTGAAAAGGAGAACCAGGTTCTTCTCAGTTTGTTCAGTAGGCAGGGAAAGCACCAGTGG